AACAGTGGGTTGCTTCCATCTGGGGGTAAAAGCTCTTCATTAATACACAAAACAATATTTCCTTCCATAAAGTAGAACTGCAAGGCAAGCATATGATAGTAGGTACTGACGTTCTTGTTAGAGGAGAGATAAAGTGTAATTGAAAAAGATGTCACCCACGCTAAACAATTTGCATATGCATCTTGACAAACTCCATTAGGTTTCAGAGCCTGAGAATGCTTATCTCAGACTTCTTTCAGGGCTTGTTGTTCTCTCTGGGATCAAACCTTCCTTTTTGTTAGAAGCTGACACATGTTTGAAGATGAGCATTTTATCAGCCTGTTTCCTGCCTGTGGAATTTGTAAGTCCAGAAATCTTTCATTTTCTTCCCTCTGTTATTAAATAAGATCTTTTGAAACTTGGAAACTGATAAGAACGTCTTAATGCAAGATTCCTGCTCACCTCTGAATACAGAAACTTATAGCTGAATTTTTAAAAACAAGGAGCACACTGAGGGGTGAAAGATGGGAAATGAGTAGGAGGAGACATCGTCTGAAAAGGGGGTCTGTAGTGCTCATGATGGGAGGGTCTCTTCTTGCATGTTGCATAAATGGGGAAGGCAGAAAAGGAGTCTCTGTATCTCTGCAAGGGTCTGTAACACCAACAGGTGCACTGGGACCATCAGGGAGCGTTCAATCAACCAGGGGAACTCAGGAATCATGGAGCTCATGATCCAGGACAAAAGGATGGCTGAGGGCTGGTCTCCACTCAAGAATTTTCAGTTCCATGCTCTGTAAACTTTTTCCTGACACAAACACTTAAACACTTTGGAAAAACTGTCAAAACACAGATGTGTCTTCCTTTCTTCAAATCAATAATCATAATGTTAATACCCAAATTTGTGATGTACCAGTTAATGGGAAAATTGAGCTAGTAGGATCACGGCCGTAACTGTGAGATTAGAAGTACAATGATCTCCATTTCATAGATAAGGACATTTCCCTAAATAACAGCATCCATTCTGATCTCAGTTGTTGAGAGTTTCATTGTCTGCTAATGACTCCACCATTTTATTTTTATTGAGGCTTTCCATGCATGTGTACAGAGACATCATGTGTAAATGCTCCCAGGGTTGCTGAAAATGTGCAGTGTCTCCATCAACTCTGTGACTCTCTCTCTAGGATTCTCAGTGTCTCCAAGCTTTTTAGAAATTTGGTGGTCTCCACCCTTCAGTCAATTTGGTAATCTGGAAACTCAGGAAGTGTGCACTCCTCACCACATATGACCAACAGTGACCTGGAGGTGTTTCAGGGGGGCAGGCATGTCCCATGGTGGGGAGCACAGGGCCAAACATGTGTTCACGCTTACTTGATGTGTGCTCTTGGACACCCAGAAAGCCCTTCTGTGCTGCACTGTGTACCTATCCAACTGTAAAATGGTGACAAATGGGTACCTACATCACAGGTTATTTACAGAGAACAAGACACATTGAGTATGTGAGTGGATATGAGTCACATACTCAATGTGTCAGAGAAACAACATATATGTGAGTTTCCTGATGAGGATGTCTTGTGTCTTCAGGTGTCCAGTGTGTGGTACAACTGGTGGAGTCTGCAGGAGACCTGGTGAAGCCTGGGGGATTTCTGATACTCTCTTGTGCAGCTTCTGGATTCACCTGAAGTAGCTACTACATGAGCTGGGCCCACCAGGCTCCAGTCAGCGGCCTGCAGTGGGTCTCAAGTATAGAGGATGATGGAAGTAGCACAAGCTCTTTAGATTCTGTGAAGTGCTAAGAACACACTGTTTCTGCAGTAGAACAGCCTGAAGCGAGGACACGGCTGTATAATACTGAGCGAGCAACAGAGTGAGGGGACATCAGTGTACCCAGACACAAACCTCTCTGTAGACTGGAACGGGCCATACAGTGGGTGCACACTGTTCAACAATTCTGTCTTCAAACACCACAGGCAGATGCATATGGAGGAAATCTGCAGGTTTCCTGTCAGGGTCTGGGGCTTTCTTTCCATACAGCAGTTTCCCCCAGGGAGCCTCTCTGCACACATGATTCTGTGCTTACCTAATCACTCTCTGACATAAAAAAAAAAAAAAAGGAAATCAACTGTACTAACAAGCACAAAAGACAGTGTCACTTGAACTAGCTTTTTCTGTACCTTAATATCAATGGGTTACAAATATCTCCATGCCCATCATCTGAACATTGTCAGGAGTCCCAGCTGCACTCACTGTGCATCAAAGGACCACCCAGCTCAAGGTGCAAGCTTGCTAGATGCAGCGTAAAGTGCATGCTGGCCATGAGGCTACAAAGGCATCAAAAATCCATGGAAAATGAATAAAGACCACTGGGAAGGTCACTGTCTGGAACCATGCTCATAGCATCAATATTACGGACAGCGTGTGAAAGCAGAGAGAAACCCACCAGGATATTGTGCGAATGTGGAGTCTGAAGATCACACACACTCACACACACACATACACACACATGCACACATGCACATGTACACACACACACACACGAGAGTATAAAAATTTATCACCTGCACTCACTGAGGGGCTTGTGTAGAGGCAATCTCTATAAATTGTCTGCAATTCTTTTACTAATAGGTCTCCACACTAACCAGGGAACATGTCCTAGTGTCCAGCCACAGTTGTCATTGGTAATATCCACAACATCACAGATTCCTGTTAGCCCCATATGCATGTTTATGGTTCTGGGGGATGAGCACCCCATAGCAACCCACCCACACCCCTATAAACATAATCACACCTATTATATTCCTTCCCTGTGCGCAGTGATATCAGCGGGCCTCCATCTAGGTCCACACACACCCTGGAGCCAGCGTGGACACTCACCTTCCTCTGTGCAGATTATTGTCCCAGAGGATACCTGGTTAGCATGAGACTCCTTTGAACCTGGATGTGTGGGGTGTCTTCTCCCCTCCGCGGTCCCAGAGCAGGTCAGTCCACTCTTCCAGCCCTAGCACAGGGTCCAGATGTAACCTCATAATTGGATCATCCAACTTTTCATGGTCTCCAATTCTTGGGTCAAGCAGGTGGTCTATTTATAATTTCATTCACACTAACAACCTACAGGAGAGCCAGGAGATGAGATCATGCATCCATGGCTCTGTTCATGAAGATACACAGATAAGCACTTTTGCAGAGGACTGGTCTAAATCTCTGAGTGCAGTGGTGAGGACACGAGTTGAGTGGGTGACCTGCCCCTGTCACTCAGGTGTGAAGTGTCAATGCAGGATCAGAGAAGTGTTAATGTATAAATGTGTCACTCGCAGAAAAGGGCTCACCCAGGAGGCTCCCAGGGAGGTGACACTGATTGCAGCAATGATAAAATCTCACAGCTCTGCCATCCTATTACATAATTTACACAGGAACATACCTGATAGTGAAGCTGTTTCAGGGGAGTTAAGTCTACTCAGGATAAGTGAGCCAAGGGGGAGCTCTGACTTAACAGAAGCAGTGGACTGAGCAGCTTTGACAAATTTCAACATGATGTGTACCTGTAGCTGCTGTCCCCAAACTTGCACACCCAGGACTTTAAACATGAGAGAATAGAGGAGGTAGGAGCAGAGATGTTCTCTAAAAGTGTGGAACCCCTGGGCTTGTGGTGGAGGGTGGATGAATGTCTAACTTGAATACAGCAGTTGGTATTAGACTGATATTATGTTTTAGTGGTTTCTGTTTCCTCCTGTAGATGATCACACCCTGTCTTTTCGAGGCCTATGCTGTGGGGTGTGTGTCTCTTCCTGGCTCCACTGGAAAGCTGGGGTTGCCTGGGTAGCAGCCGTGAAGTGTGTCTCTGCTGTGGCCACGAGAGAGTTCAGGTTCCTCCAGTGATCCCCTGTTTCTGTTCCCTGATCGGCATTGTGATCTCCTTGGGCTCTCCCATGTAGAGTCTACTTCCACTCTCTCCAGTGCACTCCACTGCTCCACTCAGGTGACAATTGTTAATGAGGTGGAAGGGGTGGGGCCACAAGGATGCTCTGACTTGCTGACTGAGCCTTCTCCTCAGGTGCTCACCGGGAATCTGGCTCTGGGAGAGGCCTGCTCCTGTCCCTGCCCCTCCTCCACCGGAAGTCCAAGTCCGGGTATTCTTGCCCATCTCAGGTACACAGTCATTTCTGTTCTTCTCCATTGTTCCCTCCTGCAACTACAGTTGTCCCTGGGTGTCCGCAACTTCCTGTTTTCCTACCTTTCCCTGGAGATTAAAGCTTTCATTCCATGTGAAAAGTGTGTGTGGTCCTCAACTGAACCCTGGTGGTGACGTCTGTTCCTCTCCCAGATCCTATGGGGTTCCACCTGTGACCACAGGATGCTAATTCTGAGGGCTTTCCTCTGCAGATAAATTATTTATTTCTGTGGTGGACATGGGGGCATGGGTCTCCATGCATTCCCGCTCTGAGTCATCTTCCTCCCATCCTGCCAGTACCACCGGGGGTGGGTGGGTGGTGATTTGTGATTTGTCCCCATCCTACAGGAAAGGGATGAATGAGGACAGTAACAGTTTAGTGATGTAGTCCTGGAGAACTTCACACTATAACACCTTTAGCACACTCGATGTCAAAAAATTCATTGCATATTCTAGCTAAATCTTGTGATAGTTTCTCGTAGGGGTCTGTGTTCACAATACGCTAAGGTGCTGGTTCTTAGTCCCCCTGTTAGCACTTTTCTCTCACCAGTGTTTAAGTTTATTGTATGTCTAATGACCACAATTATCAAATATATTGATTCAAATTTGCTGATCTGCAGCATGTCATATTTATTTTCTTACTTCTTGCAACTCCAATCCGAGGAATGACTTTATTGACATACAGAAACATGCAAACAATCCCAAGCCCAATCGTCAGCTTAAGAATGGACATATTGTGCTCAATGCCATTTTGGAAACCTGCCCATCATTAACAACTATGATTTGTGCTACAAACAGAAACACAGTGGTATTGTCAAGGATTTGCTTAAGGAAATGAAAGTACATCTAATACAACTACAGAATTATATATTCTAGAAAATTAAAGCTAATCCAAGGTAACATGAGAAAGATCAATAGTTATGTGGGGACAGAGTAAAGAAGGGACGATTGGAAGGAAGCATGTTAGGAGAAAAACAGGAAATTGTAGGGAGAATTGATTTGCTCACTCTGGATAATGTTGATTCTGACACATGCATTTACCATATCACAGACTCTTCATGCGTTCAGTTCATCCTGTGTCAAATAGACTCATCAAAGCCATTAAAGAGAACTACAGAGATGACTCTGGCAGAATGCAGAGATAGTGAATTGTTAGAGACTAGAAAATACAGCTGCATGAACCCTGATTCTCTCTGTATTTCAGGTAAACTCGAGAACAAGCAAAATCATCCTGTCCCCATTACAGGAGGAGTTCCACATTACTCATGATCTTGCCCACTCTGTTCTGCAGGTGGTTCAGGGGAGAAATATGTCTTGTGCAGATGAGCACAGAACAGATACTGGGGTCACTCTCACCCCATATATGCTCTTGGACACCTTATAAACCCTCTAAATTTCTGGGTGTAGGTTCGCATCCCTTACTGGGCTGACATGAAATCTACACCTCAAGATTTCTGTGCATGTGTAAAGAAAGGTAACACATGGAGGCTAACTTTGTGCTCTGGAAAATCATATAATAAAAAATCATATTTTTCCAAATGCTGTCAAACCACAAAATCACAGCGGTCATACCTGCTCTCATCACTGATGTCTCGGTCAACATAGATCTCAAGCTGGCTCTACACTCGGGGGATATGCAAATAAGGCCCTCCCTCTACTGATTAAATCACCCAAACCATACCCTGCAGGGGAGAGAAGAGCCCCAGCCTCGGGATTCCCAGATGTTCCCATTCACTGATCAGGACAGAACGCAGACAACTCACCATGGAGTTTAGGCTGACCTGGGTTTTCCTTGTTGCTGTTTTAAAAGGTAATTTACAGAGAATAAGAGACCTTGAGTATGTGAGTGGATATGAGTGAGAGAAACAGGGGATGTGTGACATTATCCTGACCAGGATGTCTTGTGTCTGCAGGTGTCCAGTCTGAGGTGCAGCTGGTGGAGTCTGGGGCAGACCAGGTGAAGCCTGGGGATCCCTGAGACTCTCCTGTGCAGCCCTGGATTCACTTTCAGCAGCTACTACATGCACTGAGTCTGCCAGGCTCCGGGCAGGAGGCTGTAGTGGGTCGCATGGATTAGGTATGATGGAAGTAGCACAAGCTATGCAGACTCTATGAAGGGTCGATTCACCATCTCCAGAGACAACGGCAAGAACACGCTGTATCTGAACAGCCTGAGAGCCGAGAAAACGGCCGTGTATTACTGTGCGAAGGACACAGTGAGGGGACGTCAATGTGAGCCCAGACAAAAACCTCACTGTAGAAGGGGATCTGGACCACCAGAGAGTACACAATACTCAGCCATTCTGTCTTTCAGCCCCTGGTGCAGGTGCACATGGTGGTTATGGGCAGGTTTACTCTCAGGGTCTGGGGCTTCCTATCTAATTATAGCTTTTTCCCCCAAGCAAGAGAAGGAAGAACCCTGGACCCGTCACTGTCTTAAATTGTGCTCACAGCATCAATATTATTGACAGACTGGCAAAGCAGAGGAAAACCCACCAGGACATGGTGTGGATGTGGACTCTGAAGATC